CCACTGGTGACCGGCTGCCAGCCTGATTTACTGTAACTCTCTGAGCCCAACCCATCAGCCAATTGCTCACCCAAGGTATTACGGGCTTGTCTAGCCCTGTGCTGGACATTTTGTCCAGAAGGATACTGTGAGAGACTGTATCAAAAGCTTTGCTAAAATCCAAAAACCCGCATCTACTGGCTTTCCTTGGTCAACTAGATGGGTGACCTAGTCATAAAAGGAAGTTAAGTTAGTTAAGCAGGACTTTTCCCTCATGAAGCCGTGCCAGCTATGACCAACGACTGCATTGTCTCTCAAGTGTTTTTCAGTAATTCCCAGAATAACCTGCCCCGTAATTTTACCAGGCGCTGAAGTGAGACTGACAGGCCTGTAATTACCAGGGTCTTCCTTCTTACCCTTCTTGAAAACTGGGACCACATTTGCCAGCTTCCAGTCGACTGGGACTTCTCCAGACTCCCAAGACCGTTGAGAAATAACCAGAGAGAGGTCCCGCGGTAACACCGGCCAGCTCTTTCAGTCCCCTGGGCTGAATCCCCTCGGGCCCCATAGATTTATGCGCACCCAGCTGGAGCGGCAAGTCTGGAACAAGTTCAGAGGTGGCTGGGAGTTTATCATTCCCCCAGTCACAGTCTTCCAGCGCAGGGCTCCGGGGGTCCCAGGGCCCATCATCGGTGGTAAAGACAGAGGCGAAGAAGGCATTAAACGTCTCTGCTTTTCTATGTCCCTATTTGTGAGGTAACCAACCTCATCAAGCAACGGCCCGACATTATCTCTGATCCTCCTTTTGCTGTTAACATATTTTAAAAAGCCCTTTTTGATGTCCTTCACAGTGCTGGCCAGCTTGAACTCTAATCGAGCTTTGGCTGCACAATTTTCTCCCTATGGTGGCGAACAGCATCTCTGTAGTCCTCCCGTGTTGCCTGTCCTTGCTTCCAATGTCCCTACAGGCTTAATTTTTAAGTCCAATATATTCTTTACCTGATTTCACAATGCAAATGTAAGTATGTTTCTGTCATCAAGTATGTAGGCCATGCTATACTGCTAGCAGTAGGAGATTAAGATAAAACCACTAATGCATCCTGGCTGTGTCTTCTCGTGGTAAAGTAATTTTAAAGACATAGTTAAGAATAAATACATGAAATATCTATGGAAAGTATCCTAAGGAAAGGATCTTAAAAGGTAAAGGCTTCAGACTTGTAAAGGCCATAAATAACCTCGCAGTAGCCACTTGCAGAAGGTACCATAACAATAAGGAGACCTTAATAAATGGTCTTGAAACCATTTCATCTGCAGGATAAACCTCTCTGACGTGTTCAATTAAAAAGGACATAGCTAGGATAAACTACAGTGAGGCATATACATTTTTATTTACTACCACTATTAATTCTCTACTTACAGGACATATTGTTAGGTGTTCATTTCTAATTCTTTGAACTGCATTTGACTGTCAGGCCATGATGTGCACTTGTGTCCTTATCTGATATCTCATCTTTAGGCTAACTTAAACAAAACAGCTATGGAATTTCCTATACTTACAGATGACTCTCCACTGCTTAAATGAATGAGGAAAAAAAGAAAAACCCACCGCGCTCTCATTTTGTGCTAAGTCATTTTGTGCTACAACTGAACTAACAAACTCCCTTTAAATGTCACCTGTTCAAAAGACCTGCACGGGTGCCTACACCAGTTTTGTTTTGCTGCCTAGTCCTGCAGGGCCAACATGTGCAACTGAACATAAACCAATTCTGACCAAGACGTGCAGTATCCGTACTGTACTATTCATGGTTCCCAGCTGTCAAAGCACAGCACATCCTCTAATACTGGCAGGCACAGAGCTATCTAGGTCAAACGGTACTTAACCATGTCAGGTTTTCTCCTCAGCAAAGTGGCCACACTATAGACAGCTAAACCTGTCTTTTGATGCAGTTTTGTAATGCTCATGAAGAGCTGTGCTTGAGCTAACTAACATCAGCAGCTGGGATAACCCACACGGGGATAAGTGAGTGCTGACAGTACACATCACTCAACTGTATTCACATTCTGCTCAAGATTACTTGATAACACTTCCAAATTCACTGCTCAGTTCAAAAAACAGATTTTTTTTTTTCATTTGGCTGTTACCTCCTTCAAGGAGGGTGTATCCCTTGTTTCTAATCAAGCAGATGCAAATGGCCCAGTCAATGGTACAAAGCCAAACAAAAAATAGTGTCTTTCATCAAGCTACATTTTGCTCAGGAAAGAGCAATCAGACAGCAATCACAGGGCCTGGCCCTGGCCCATTTTCTTCTCTTGAAAGAAGCATCAGTTACATGTTGGCTGAACCTGCGGGCTAAATGGGCGTCTCCTCTTATCCCTTCCCTCCTATGTCACAGTCCGTGGAGCTGACTGAATTAGCAGTTTGACCCTTTCCTGGTCAATGAAGGGTTTATGTATCTTAGCATATATCCCTTCCCATTGCTACCAAATTGAAGGAAAACAATCTTATATGACATGCATCACTGGGTGAGTAAAACAGAAGTGAGGTCGGTCACTGGCACAAGCTCCCCAGGGCAGTAGTAGCGGCACCGAGCCTGTCAGAGTTCAAGGAGCGTCTGGGCAACGCTCTTAGTCATAAGGTTTAGTTTTAGGTAGTCCTGCAAGGAGCAGGGAGCTGGACTCGATGATCCTTATGGGTCCCTTCCAACTCGAGATATTCTATGATTCTATGATAAGTACAGCGATATATGACAAGTGTATCACAAGTCATATGGCCTTTCTGGTACAGTATGCACAAATCACCTATTTTTTCCAAACAATAAATGACTTAAGAGATTTAAAACAGATGCAAAACACTTCTATTTTTCAGATTAATTTGAAATCTTACTCCTTGTTTTTAATAACATGGGAGGGAGAGGAAGCAGAACAACAGAAACATTTAAGCAAAACCAATGTATTTTATTTCTATCAAGTTAGTATTTCATCTTTACAAAGTCACATGAAAGAACTTCAGAGAACTGCACCTCTTACAATTTCCCATTAGTTATCATGGCTACTGAAAATATAAAAAATATTTTAAACTTGTTTTAACCTGAAGCTCTTGTAGTTAATAGTTTTTGTAAAGTTCAGCCTCTGCTGTAACTGAACACCACAGTCACAAGCATCAAAAAGTTATAGGTACTTTCCGTATTAAGTTAGTAATGTCAGATAAACTACCATGCAACAGTACAGCACTGCAAAAATATCTCAATAAATTTAGATTGGAAAGATCGCATCTGAAATTTAGGACAGTGCTTGTACATAAAAACCTATAAACAAAAAGCTGTCAGCAAAATCAGTAAATGGTTGAATTATGTCAACAGTTGCATTAAATAATATTTAGTAGACTAATATACCATACCATATGAAAATAACTCTTTAGAAAGGTTATAGTTGATATATTCACTGAATACTTTTGTACTACAGCATTCATATTATGAATGGAACTGTTTCTGGCAGGGACATTTTCTTTGGTACAATGCATTTAAAATGAAAGCAAGTTGGCCACACGCATGTAAGGCAAGTGCGTATCAAGGCAGAATCGTAACAGAAAGCCTGTGATGGCAATGTCAGTAATTGCTGCACTGTATGTGCGGCAGATCATATTTAAAAATTCTTCTTTTGCAGCATGCAGCAACAAGACAGATTTTCCAAATCCTTCCGTAAGAAACTGCAAGTCCTACACCTCCAAAAGCACACTGTGAAATCATTGCTTCCTCAAAAGAAATGATCAATATTGTTTCTTCTATCATCAGTATTATGTAAAGCTGGAACTGAAAAACAAAAGCAAGCATTATAAACCATAACATACTCTGAAGAAATAAAGCTAAAACAGAGAAAACAAATCTAAAAATTTTCTGAAGTTGAGAGTTACTCATAATAGTGCAGATTAATGATTTCTCTACTAAAGAATTCCACTTTCATATATAATTCCAGAAAACGGAGTCTAGGAAAAGGAACTCGGTAACATTACTTGAAATGCAACAAATTTTGGCAAAAACACAAGCAGGCTTCTAGCAGAGACACCAAAAATGTCAAAGCTGTCTTGATGATATTTGTGGAAATATGTGCACCCATCTAGCTTCCAGAGTTTTCCATAATCTAGCAGTTATGAATAATTTCTGTATCAAAAAATCTGCTTTCAATTGCAGTAAGATACTAAACAACAAAATGTTATCTGCAGTAAAGTTGTAACCTATCAGGAAAGAAAATCAGTAAGTTAATTGACTTCTCCTGATTTTGGAGGAAAAAAAATTTAATTCAATTTAATTCAATGTTTATATACGAACATTTAATTCAATACATGAAGAAGTTGGGCATGTTATTCTGGAGACTATTTTGAATACATTTCTGAAATTTCACAATTTATTCGAGCTTTTTTTTTGGGAGTGGAGAAGGAAAGAAGTGGGTGGGAGGGAAGAAAGTGAAATCTTTATCAGGTCATATTCTGCACTTGGTGTAATTTTACAGCCAATTTTATCAATCTCTCCTCTCAAAAATCTGTCCTAGGAAGACAAATCTAGTATTATGGGACAGCAGCAGTCAGACTGCTTCATAAAACTAACATATCCTACATTCAAAACCTGAGTGCTGCAATCAAATACTATTTCTGGAATCCCCTGGGTGAATTTCTCTCCCTCTCTAACTTCTCCCTCTCCCTCTCGCTCTGTTCGTGAACATTCTCAGTTTCTTCATCTCTGACATCAAAGCACAGGAGTTCAAGCCGAAAACCTTGGTTCCTTTATGGGAAAAAAAAAAAGAAAAAAAAAGAAAGAATGCTCATAGAACATACAGCAATTACTCTAAAAGTAAATTTTAGAGCCAGTGATCCAAGCATGAGGTTATTTTACACACTTCTGTCGTCTTATCACATAACAGAATAGGAGCATGTTTGTACCTCTTCTAAAAGATTACTAAAATTTGCATTATCAAAGTGATATGTGAAGAATTTTTTTATTGCTGCCTCTGATGACTAGCATCAGCACTTACTTTTTGCGGTCCTTGTCTCTCTTCAAACTAACAACAGGGGTGGAGACAGATGCTTGTGACTGGAGTAATTCAGCATTAGCTTTCTTCTCAATAAACATAGCTATTTCATCTTCTAGAACTTTTTTCTTTTTCTCTAATTTCAGTTTTACTTCTTGGTGCATTAGCATACGATGTTCAAATTTAGTCTGCACCTGTTTAAAGCAAGCACAAAAAAATATATTTCCAACTAGTAACACAAGGTGGTGATATCACAATACAAAACCCCCCTGCAACTAAACAGCAAAACCTACCTCAGCTTGTGTTAAAAGTTATTAAGACATTGCAGTTCTTTCCCCAAACGGGTAAGACTAAAAAACAGCAATCCAGAAAAATAGTCATTCATATCAGATTGTTCTTATGGAAGCCAGGCTACTGCACACAAAGTACAGGTGGAAACCATGGAAGGCACTAAGTGAATATTAGATTTCCTACTAGATTTTACTATCTTTATTACACCAAAAATAAGGAGGCCTTTAGAGAGGAAACAATTACCACAGAAGGATTAAATCAGGATCTCTCAAGTAGAATCTACTTCCCTAAAACCAAGTGGGCAAGGAATCATACATAGTTACACAGGTATGTATTTTCATAAATATATATAAATTAATATGTATATTAATTACATTTACATATTAATATGTTCACACACAATAAGTCTGGTTGGGAGAGTTACTTGTGGGCTGCCAGAAGTTAACTGCTTTTCCGCAGTAATTGTTCTTTGATTGTTCTTTTGACATATTAATGGATTTTACTCTCCAGACGCATTTTGAGCAGTTTAAACCTACTGTGAAGTTGTGTATGATAACCAAAGGGTACTTCACTCCATCCTTCCTCGACTCCCATCTCCCCACACATAAACCCTCCTAGAATCCTGCTTCTGTACCCATCTGTATCAGTGTAACTCAATCTGAGGGCATGGAAATCAGAGATTTATTTCCATCTTTTGCAAAGAAGGAACTAAGAAGTAACTAAGATTATAAATATAACAGTATGCCTGTTTTACACAGTAGAGCTGTCAGTTTTTATAAATGTGTGTCTATCTATGTATGTATACTATTCATTTATTTATTTCATTGCAACAGTTAACCAGATGCATTGCAAAAACAGGTATACCAATAAAAACATTCAGGGTAGAAACAGTAAGGCCCTAAGTGACTGGTTGTCTCAGGAGTGGTAATGCTGCACATTGCACCGACAAGTTTCCTCTAAATGAAGGATGTGAAAGCAATCTTAAGTACAACAGAAATTCCTGTTTTTCTTTAGTTTTCAGATACACATACACACTTCTCAGAGAACGAGCAGCAAGAGTATATGGCAAATTTCTTTAGGAGTGACTGCATGATCACTTTCCCACATCAGGAACTGGGAAAACTTAATATCCATAATTCAATTGCAACACGCAGAGCTCACAAACCTCTATAAGTCACAGAAGGAAAACATCAAGGGGTACCACAGATACCGTCTAAGATCTAGCTGAACCTACTTTGAACACAACCAAGTATTCTTCCAATGGGATAGCCTCAACCCGAGAAGGATTGAACCTGATTTTTTTTTCCACAAGTACCATGGGGGACTTAACAGATTTAGGAAAAAAAGTATTAAGCCTTCTTCTTATTTAAAACATGCATCTGAACACCTCACAAAAACTGCTACATCTTTGCTGGGAGACTGAGGTACAGAAAAGAACATTAATAATACACACAGGTTTCCAATTTCAATTAAACCAGTGTTTGAGTATAAATACACATGACCATGATAGAGTCTGGCAGAAAGTAGATGAGAAGATCCTGTTTTGCCAGTCCAGCTTGACAGGACTAAATCTTCAACATATTCAAGAAATGTTCCACATCTCCAAATATCTTAAGGCAGCTGGGAATAGATGAGATTTCAAAAGCAAAACAAAACAAAACAACAAAAACAACCCCCCCACACTTTCAAACCTTTCAACGTGAGGGTTGAGCTTATATTTAATAACTGAACCTGGAGGTCATACAAAGATACATGCTGCACTCTCTTGGGCTGAAAAACAACGCATGGGATTTTTTCCTGAAATCTTGGTTTTTACAGAGCAACCTATGCATGAAAAGCACCTACTGTGCTGCTATGGCATACCGATGTTTCTCAGCATACTGCTAGAGAAGACAAAGAAACATGCAACCATTATATTCATCACACTCTTACTTTACCATATCACCTCCTACACTACTGACGTGTCCCAGCTATCCACCAAAGCCTTTAGATCATAAAAGCTCCCTCCTTCCAAAAAAAGACTGCCATTTATAGAATCATGTAAGTTGGAAAAGATCTCTAAGACCATCGAGTCCAACCGTTAACCTAGCACTGCCAAGTCCACCACTAAACTATGTCCCTAAGCACCACATCTACACGTCTTTTAAATACTTCCAGGGATGGTGACTCAACCACTTCCCTGGGCAGCCTGTTCCAATGCTTGATAACCCTTTCGGTGAAGAAATTTTTCCTAATGTCCAATCTAAACCTCCCCTGGCGCAACTTGAGGCCGTTTCCTCTTGTCCTATCACTTGCTACTTAGGAGAAGAGACCGACACCCACCTCACTACAACCTCCTTTCAGGTAGAGAGCAATAAAGTCTCCCCTCAGCCTCCTTTTCTCCAGACTAAACAACCCCAGCTCCCTCAGTTGCTCCTCAAGACTTGTTCTCTTGTTTGCTTGCGTCTAATCAATCTGCTAATCCAATCAACCTGTGAAATCTGCTTTTGATTTTAAGCATTACTGCCTTCAAAGTACTAGGAAATTGTAAATATCAACTAGCTGTGATTTTGCTAAGAACTCAAGCAAACAAACTCAAGACAGACAGGCATGCTTACCTGTTGCTCTGCTTCTTTCAGTATTGCTTCTTTCTCCTTCACTCTCTGCACAAACTGTTGCCTCATCTCCTCCTCTTTTCTTTGCAGTTCAAGGTAGAACTCATGCCTCTTTGCCTCATAGGCTTCCTGTAGACTGAAGTCCAAAAATGTAAGCAAGTCTCCAGTACGCTGCTTTATTCAATGTGGAAAACCAACAATCTGGAACATTATTTAAACAATTAATATTCATCTGAAATACTAATTTCTACAGCTCCCCACATAAAAATTCATAAACAAACCTAAACAGAAGTAAGCATCTTACCTTTCTAAATTTTTATTTAAGTAAACAACCCTGAGTAGAATTATTTATGCTAACAGCTCCTGGGCAATTTACATTTCAAAGTAAATACAGCATTTTAGGAATCTCATGTTCTAAAAGACTTGAGTTATAACTTTCTGCCTCCAACATGCAGAGCCTTTTTCTTTAAGTTACTTATTAATAAGACACCAAAATTGCCAGAAAAATCCCCAAAAATTTCCGCATTGTGAAACCTCAGTCTTAAAATAGGACATTACAAAACCAATGCATCTGGAGCATTAACACAACTAATAAACTGATTGTTCCTATATGAAAAAAGTAGGAAAATAACAGGACCTTCAAAATATACAGCATTCTCTTTATGTAATGTTAAAATTTAAATACAGCAGAGTTACATTAATATAGAAGAAATACAATTTCCTAAGTAGTTCAACATCCAAAAGATAGGGTTACTTTCCAATATGCATCAACCAAAACCTCAAGACTACTTGTTTTTTCCTGAATCCTCTCTCCCAGAAGCTAATATACAGCACACATACCACACTTATATTTGAAATTATATAGGTGGTGTAAATTAGTTCAGATCATTGAGCAAATATCTGGCAGAACAAAACAGCAAGTAACGGAAACATTACTTTTAAATCTATGCCTCCCTTCCTTTTTTTTTTTTAAAAAGTTACTCTGCTAATTTCAGTACACAAGACAATTTTTTTCCTCCAAACAACAGGTACTTGAAATTGAGGAACTTCTTTCATATCAAAGCATATCATAGCAAATTAAAAGATGCTGGTAATTTACTCATATACTACTAGAGGTTTGACATTTTCGGGGTGTATACTACCACTGCTAGCACCACAGCGCTGGCAGGAAAAGTTCTGCTTTTCAGGGAAAAAGGAATGGAGCTTGCACACATATGTATCTCATACACCAAAGAGCGCACTACCTTTGAAAAGCATAGGTGCTTAATGACACAAGTTCTTCCAACAAAACATTCACCACAATCTTCTCCAAGTCACAAGATTCCAGAGAGGCAGAACTGGTGGATCAGAGCTGTGCTAATGGTTATTACAAAAACAATACGATCTGTCCAGTATTTTGTAGGACACAAGGCTTATGAACAGAACAAAACACGGATAATGTTCTAGCTCTTTATTCTGCAGCTATTCTCTTACACCATTCATCTCTTCTAACACTTCCTGAGTGGTGACTAGTCAGCCTTTCTCAGCTATGATGAGTTACTGTCCTTTGCCAGGTATCTCATGCCTTCCACTCTGATGTAAAATAAATATGTATGTACATCAAATACTTACATTTGCTTTATATTTTTAATACACATACACACTTTTGTACCAGTTTTTAAGTCTCATATTTTACTGTTTCTATTAAAACAGTTTATAAATTAAAAGACTTATAAAAAAGGACATCTAAAAACTTAATGATTTAGAGCAACAGTAAGCTTAAACAGCTCTCTTCTATATTTAAATTTACGATGACTGGGCAGTTTCTCAATTCTGAAGTTTCTTATTTGTATTCCAAATATAATCTAAGGAGAGAGAAGAATCGTCTTGAAATTGCACATGCAGACTTAATGTTTGTAAGATCTCAAGGTCAGAGCACTTTTCCTATTCTACCTTATTTGAGCAATACATTGCAACAAAACAAATTTGGAAGAACAACCTTTGTGGGTTTGGGTTCAGCTTTTTTTTATCAGCTGTGAAGTAACTTAGGTCATCCTGAAATTATAACTACCACGTGAAACGAGGGCATGGTTTTCACACAGCATATTAATTCACACTATCTTTAAGTTTAGACAGCATATGTAATAACAATAAAGCTACAGAACAGGTTTTTCAACTGCTAGCAATCTCCCTATACACACTTTTGGGCCCTGTGTCAGTTCTGCTAGCTAACACGCTGCCTTTGGGTGCAATAAAGCCGCTAGAGCAAACGCTAGACTCAGCTAACATGCTGCAATGGCATCTTCATTGGTAGACATCTCCAGTGTCAACCTAAGCTAGTTTATCAGGTAAAAGCAATTTTATTTTGAAATTAGTAAAAGATTCACTTTGAAGACATTGGATTTACTAAGTAATCAAATTGCATGTATAAAGAAGAGGAGAAATAAAAGTGTATTTTTTAAATCCCCCTTCCCCTGGACTGAAGTGTTCTGGAAATCAAAAGATAAAATTAAAACAATTTTCCTCTTCTGTGTTTGGCATAGCAGCAACATAATGATCTGAACAGTCTTTGGTTTTAGGAGGAGGGGAAAATAGTTCACCAGATCTTAAGCCAATCATTTCAACATTACTGCATCCATTGCTCACAGTAAAACACTTTTCCATTTACCTGAAGACTGGTTTCACCGCTTCTCATATAGCACATTATGAAAATCAAATTCACAGGTTCTCTCATTCTTCTGGGTTGGACCCTTAGAATTTTACACTCTGTACAAAACCACTTGCAAAATTAATATGTTAAAGATAATTATTTAAATAATGTATTCTTACTGAGGTTTTGGAGGAAGGGAAGGGATTGTGAAGAAAGTCTACACCTTACTAATCCATTACATACCTCATAACAGCACTATTACCTACCTTTCTAAAGAAGCATAGCTGTGACATACACTTTTTCTAGCTGCGTAAGAGTTAGAACATGGAAGCCTAAATATAAAGATGCAAATCAAACGTTATGTTCATAAATAAAGACTCTGATTGAAGTGAATTCAACTCTCAGTGGAACACAATGTTTGTGTGCTTTGAACAACACAGATATTTACACAATATTTTACAATTTGTTCATTTACATTTAAAAAAGCTTTCAAATTTGAAAACTACACTTGTAACTTTTTGCATAACATTTGACTATCAATTAAGGTATATCAGAAAAATTAAAAAATTTAAAAGTTAACTAGTGGCAGGTATTTTTAGCATGGTCCCTTGACTCAGTGAACTACCTAAGTTGATATTAAGCAATGCTAAGGACGTGGTAGATCTAAATAACTATCATTTTCCCAGTGAAGGCATGAAAAACACGTATTTTGGATGCAGTTCAGTCTTACCATAAGGAGGTTAAAATATTTAGCCCAAATGCAAAGGTGTGCGGTTGGTCAGATGAACTCCATTTCCAAGTGACTTCTTAAGAAAGAAGTCCAGTAGCCTTTCAGATATTAGGTTTCCTTTCTTAGAAAAGACTACTAGAGTCATATCAACCTTCCTCTACGTGTGAACTAACTTACATTACTGAATCCTTCCTGGTTTTATCTCATCATCCTCAAAATAGGCTGAAAAATAAACATGTTTTTGTTCGAGAACTGCAAGGTCTGAATATCGCAGTTTCAGGGAGGAATAAAGCATGGAATATATGATTGCTCACATAGAAACTGAGAAACTGAGATGTTTATGTTACAATTATGTTTAACTGCAATTATGATGAAGAACAAATTGTAATCATGAGCACAGAAAAACACCTAAACCAGAGAATGATTAACATCAGAGAATCCAAATATGCAAGCATACAGCCTGAATATCAATCTTCGGCATTTTTCAACAGACCTTTGCCTATTAGTTTTCTTCTTTCAAAACACAAATGTCCCCTTAAGCAACAACACAGCTTAGATCGGAAAATGGACTTCCAAAATGTCCAACTTCAAAACAGTAGTAATCCTCTCCTCTCTTGCAAACATCTAAGCTTACTAGGTATGTATATATTTAGAATTTTGTTTGGCTGGAAGCATCTTCCTGTCTAGATTTCTGTTTTCAACTACACCCAATTTTTCCATTCGGGACATCTCAGCAATTATCTCTTGCTGAGATTGACCTGAAACTAGGAATTCATGTTCCTAATGGACATAATTGGACCATCAAAAAGGCAGGACTAGACCATCCACACAAAAAAGGTCTATCTTTACTTTTCAACAACAAAGAAATGCAAATCCCAATTTTAAGTATTAAAAAATGACAATAAAAGCACTTCCTGGATTTTACATCCAACAGATACTGCATAAAATGCATAAACCATCCCCCCAAATACTCTGCTATCCATTGACTTCATTACATAAATTTTGCTGTAACAGGCTTTCCAAGCCCATTCCTGATTGGCTGCTTTTCATGGCTTGGAAATCAAATTATACCCATATGACTAAGTTTAGCCTTAGATATATTCCATTTATTCCCTGAAGCACCATATGGTGGATTCTTCATTTTCGAAGTGGTTTACGTGACTGTAATTCTCATGACCTTTTGGAACGATACCCTACTCTCAATGATTGTAATACCCAAAGTCCTGCCTTACATCCTTACACCTTTTTAACTATACAATTAGTGTTCCTCCATACTTCCTAAATATTCTTTACTTATTGTGAGTACTCGCGTGGATCTTTCACGTGGAGTAGCCTTAGCTACTTCCAAATCACCCATGACCTTCTCATCCTACTGCAGTACTGCCAAGCTCCCAAGAGTTTCAAAAGACAGTACTTCATCCAGAGGTAATGATTTACTGACAACAAATGCACATCGGCCGGCCAACAACTGATAGGAGCAGAGGTCGTCTGCTTTTCCTGCAGCGAGAACACTAACCATGTTGCAGGTTAGTGTTCTAACCCCAGGAAGCATCCAACCCTTTACTGAAGTTTGAAGATGGAGAGTTGGTTCATAAGTTATTAGGGAGAGTAACAGACTCATCATGTAAATTCCATTTTCCCTAGAAATCTGGTTAATGAAAAAGTTAATTCTTAGAATGCAATTGCAAATAAACAAATTAAAAAGTTATTATGACACAAATTCACAAAAAATACAGGATTAGGGAATAGGTATTTTTAAAAGTGTACACAAGACAGTCACTTCAGACTACTACTATCTTTATTTTCCCTCCTTACACCTAGTAATAAAGATGCAAATATGTTTTTCTGTTGTGTGCTGAAACCATCTCTTTCCATGTCTCCCATAAAAAAATAAAGCTTGCCAACATGTTTTTTCACATGTAAGAGTGAAAGCCTTTACAGATGTCTGCCCACAACCTATCTCACAAGGTAGCTGAAAATCCAAGAATTACTGGTTTTGCTTTGCAGTGGCGTACAATTTTGGATGAATAAACTACTGTTGTACTTCTAAATCCAAAAGAGTGGTACAGAAACTTCACAGGCAACTTTTTCACGACATGCCAAAAGGCAGGGCATGTTAGCTACTCAAGTGTCAATGTTCAAATGCTACGAACCCCAGTGCAGTAAAATCAGCCAATTATTCAAGTCTAGCAGAAATTTTCTAAATTTACATAAAATAACCCAATTCAGATTACCAAATTTAGTATGTAGACAGCTACATCACAGGCACAAAATGCGACTTCTCAACATGCATTTTGATCATTATTTACACAAATAGCATGAAATTTTAATCATCAGTCATATACTGCTATGCAATATTAACTATACTTTAAAACTACAGCTCTTACAATCCATGTGTATATATTGTAAATATCTTTAGGGACAAAAAGGCTGACGATTTAATAATACATTTTTGCCTAGAAGAACAGGATAGTCCCTATTCTGAAAGATATTTAAATTTACAAGTCAGCAAAACCGGAAGCACTGAAATTCCTCTATGGAAAGAGACTTTTTCTATCACACTGCTGAGCATGACACTTTTTATCATTTCCCCAGTAGCTTCATGAAACACCTTATGGGTAAGGCTACATTAGTCTGCTAATTACACTACATACAGATCCTCTAAATTCTCTTCCTTTTTTATGGTATCATAAAACTTCTCTCCCAAAAGACCAAATGCTTCCTCCTTCAGACCTCAGCATCATTCACTATGCCACATAACTGAGGGACAAGCACACATCCTAGATCCAGTCCCACTTTTTTCTTCCTGTCGCAGTAAATCCAGGGAAAAGTTAATTTTTCTAGATTCTTACGGAATCTGTTCTCATTCTTCCAAAACAATGACATTTTCAATAGATGCGATTTACCAAAACTAATTATTAAGTGTATTGTCTTGCCACAAAGCTCTTAATAAACTGACATTTAGTGGGCCATACATAAAAATTACACACCAGGAGGAACATAGTTTTTCTGTACCTCCGCGAAGCAATCCATTTCTAAACCAACTTCTGAAGCGTAAAATACTATGACATTCTGATACAAACCTGCCACTTTATACCGTTAGTAAAATGTAAACTGTTTAGGGGTTTTACAAAGACTATTCTTGTGTTTGTGGAAGAAAACAGTTCTGTGGATGATCATTTTTATAATTTAACTCTTATCTTGAGATGGCTGTACATTGTGAAAGGTACTACAGTCAATATTGCCATGAACAAATCTCTACAAAAAGCTTTCCCTAGACAAAGATAACAAGATATCAGCTGTTAGTGTATGTTCTTAAACTTAAACCCAATGAAAAGTCTATGGTCAGTTTCAGTTGGTTTTAAACCTCATTCACCTTTGGTTCTCTATTTATGAAAAGGATTTATTCCTTTCTTGTTAAGTCAAGAAACCACTGTGATTCATGGTCAGCTCAAGATCATCTAAATGAACTAACCTTTAAATGTGCCTTGACATTAAGACTTCAGAAAGAAGTGCCCGCATCCAGCACCTTCCTTGGCCACATTAATCTTATTTAATTATTATTGTTTGAACAATATATAAATTAGACCTAGTCAAAGTGAAAGAAATGCTGTTCCATCAACACTCTATGAGTTACAGAAACTGCAACTGCCTTAGAACTTCTGTGCAAAGTACAGGTGAAAGCAAAGAATTTAAGCCACTAAAAACAACTATTTGGAGGGAAGCCATTTAAGGCATTTATTTTTACCAGAACAGAATGGGTAAAGACATTTACCCACTACGTAAAACAAGAAGCAAACAAACCAGTTGGTTCAAAGCACTACAAACTGTTTTTAATGCAAAGTCATATTTTGTTTTCATGTCTGGTTTAATTCAGTATTTCCCACCATGACTATGCAATAATAGCACTTTGCTAAACCATGAAGCCTTGAACAACTCCTGAGCATCAGGTCTTCCTCATCCGGATTCTAACCACTTAAAAAATACAGTCCCATGCATAAAACGACCAAAGGAAGTTGGGAGAGGGAGATGACAGAACTGGAAATAAAAGATTAAACAAACTGGATATAGAAATTGTAAATACCTCCTGCAAAAAGCAGCTTTACTACATGAAACAACCAAGTGTCTCTAACCCTCTGCTTAATTTTCCTTCGGAATCCTCTATTAACTTCCTACAATCTAGCAAGAGATTTCTTGACTTGAAAAGGCTAGACATTTGTTATTATGGCAGATAATATGGGAAGCCAACAGTGTAACCACTGATTTTGTAAAAGTTTTTGCTTCAGTTCCTTCTGAACTTTGAGTCCAACCAAACCATTGTTCAGAATGAGACATTATCAAGAAAGTAAAACAGCATGCTAATACATAATGAAAATAATTTAAAAGGCATAAAGTGCATGTACCTGAAGAATATTGGCATTCTCCAAGACAAAAGTTTATTCTAAAAGAGAAAGACTTCAGAAATACAACTAGCTTGTGTGCCTTTAAAAGCAATGCTCATATAATCCCATATACTTCTCCATGAAGATAACTGAATGAACAGCTACATACTTACTCTGATTAAAAAAAACTCAATTCTTTCCCTCTTAGAAAACCTATTCTGTGTATGAACCCTGCTCTGTATTGGGATGTTACAGTCAAACATGACGTGAACAGATGCTGAAAGCAAATGCTGCACAAGAAGTCCTTTACCTGACTGGTTTGTTCTCAGGGCCAATGTCTCTGAAGCCCATCTCTTCCAGTCGGCAGCGTCTGTACAACTCATAATGTCGTGCATGAGTCTGCTCTCTTAAGTCTTCCATATTTGTGCAAATAAGCATCTCGCGAAGCTTTACAAAGTCACAGTGGTTCTCATTTTCCACTAATCAGTTAAAAGAGGAAGATTTTATTATTATGCACAAGTAGCAAAATTGTCAAAATATATTTTAAACAGTGTTGAGATTCATTTATTTTGTTTACTAATTATACTTCCAGGAAAAGGTATCTCATTTTTTATTACACGTCTTATACTTCCTTATAATTTTAATATACACATTGAAGCACTAAATCTAAGTACTGGTGAACATGTTCCAACATGTCCTGATTTCCTGTTTGAGTTGAACAACAATAAATTTCTCTCTTTTTTTCCCTCTTCTTTACTGACAATCATAACACTTTGAAATTTGTTAGTGCTAGAGGCACTGCCACCATGCTAACCTACCCAAATATTACATACACCGTCTCATAGCTTGATTCCAGGGATGCATCAGTATTGATGAAACTACCAGTTAGTGCACACCTCAAGCATTAACCGCTATACTCCTTAAACTGTTGATCCAAAATACAATCAATATGGCATCAGTGGATAATACCAGCCCCTTTCCGTATTGGTGAATTTTATACTTCAACAACAACAACAAAAATCTCGTAAAAATACCTTTCAGAATTCATTTACCTTGTACAATGCCCCAAGGGTACTGACGAGCTCTCACCATTTTGTTTCCAATTTTCACCTCTTCAGTACTTCCTACTACGGCAAATGGCAAATGCTCCTGTAAGAGTCACACCAATACAGTCTTATCTCTCCACATTCTTATGTCAGAACTGAAAAGCAAACTCTTCAGAAATAAATTAGGGGGGAAAAACACCATTTCAGGAAAAGCCAACAGCAGTTTCAAACCAAAAACCACTTTGAAGAGATCAGTAGCTAGTCAAACTACTGATACAAAAGTCAAGCTACAATAACAAAAACGGGAGGAG